GGAGTTTGTCTTTCCGGAGTTTGTCTTTCAGGAGTTTGTCTTTCAGGAGTTTGTCACGGCGCCTTAATAAAGACAGTGGATTGGTAAATTGTATATTAATTGTTTTTTTCATAGAGCATTTGGCATGGAGTATACCCAAGCAGCAGAATTGTGTTCTTGCTTGCAAAGCGATGATGGAAGACGTGAGTAAAAAATCATTAGCAATTTTTTTGAATTTATTTGAAAAAAGTTCTTTTAGAAATCATGCCATAAAAAATTATTACAGGGTTACCCACAAAGGATGACACTTTAAAGATATCTGTAGGGAATGCATTCAGTATTTTTTAGTTAATATTCCTGGCCTATATTGTTTTTTTATTTATCAAGGACCGAATTTGATTTAAGCTACGTCGTAACCTAATTTGAACCACCGATTCAAAGTCAAAGATTTAGGAAGAACTTGAAGGCATACATTTTTATGAATAGCTAGGGTTTACAATCGGAATTCTGTTGTGCGGAATGGCGCGCAATAATATTCCGTTTGCGCCATTTCATTGTGCGGAATTGCGCTATAATTGAGACCAAGGAAGCAATTAAATATTCGCAGAATTGCTTTTCAAAGGCTTTTCCATCTAATAATAAATACTTTTGAACTGGGACAAATTTATCCAGCAGATACAAAAATGGAAATGGACAGAATGTAGATTTTAAATAATCGAGGGTCACATGAAGTTTTTAATATTTTTTAAAATTTTAAGTTCATTGTGGTTAAGCTACTAATCTTATAAACAATTTAATATGATACATCATTTTTTTGATAAAAATTGTAATATTCTTTTAATCAAAATTATATATTTTGCTACAGTGAGAGCCAATGTTGTTGAACGTAATTGCTCAATAATTAATTGCATTTATTGGATTCCATTAGATTTAAATTGAATATTCTCAATAAATTTAAAAACAAACACAAGACAGTTTGACGAAATTATCTCGGAGTTGCGCGTAGTTAAATTCACTTGTGAAGGGCTTGCAATTGCGGGTAAATAAAATACACTTGCTAGATTGCTACTAGCTTGTAGAATAGAAATGCTTTAAAAAGTTCTTTTAAAAATTAATTTAAAAAAGTTCTTTTAAAAATTAATTTTAAAAAGTTCTTTTAAAATTTAATTTAAAAACGTTCTTTAAAAAATCATGCTATAAAAAAATGATATAGGGTTGCCAATACAGAAATATACTTCATGGACGACTGTACGGAATTAAATTCATTTCATATTGTGTAAGGTCGTCTTTAAAGTTTCATTGTAGGTAATTGTCATTTGAGCGCCCCTGGGCGGTTAGATGGATTGAGGCGCTGCGGTGCCCCTGATGTATAGAGTACGGCGTGAGGGGGCAGGTTACCTGTGCAGCTGTTTACCGGCCCTATTCTGGTTCTACACGGCCCGGGCGGCCAGTTCTCCCACACTGTTCCCTGCCTGTGTCGGCAGTCTACCTCGCCTACTTTTAGTGTTAACACCTATATTTCGACTGAACTTCAAACCTTTCCTTTTTTACACAGTTAATTACACCACTTCATGGGTCCTAAGAAGAAAACTACGTCTCCTAAGACTATTAAAAGTCGCCTTTTCTCCGGCACTGACCCGTTAACAGTAGAAGATTTTGCCATCTTAAGTGTCGATGGTTTTGGCTCTCAAGCCGCAGAACTTCTTGATGGACTGAATTGGTCAAAAGAAGTGTACGCCCTTACAGGCATTAAGCTAGCCCCGGATAACCGCAGAATAGTCTCCAGTACGGTTTTCCTCCTTGGTTCCATCTTTAAAAACAAACCTTTCAACGCTGGAAACTTCTGGAACCTCACCACCCCCACCACGCTCTCCTTGTCAATCAACGATGCCTCAGTGTTCACCTTTCCCAACGGGTCCCTGTGCTCCGAATTCCTCGACTCTTCCACCTTCAAATTCTCTTTTAAACAAGGCGAAACCACCCTCTCAACGGCAGCTCAAATTGAAGCCGGTATTAATGGTTTCTCCGTTAGAGCCCTGATCATGCCCATCTCAGCCAGCAAATCTAAGCTCTGGATTACCATCGTCCCGATAAGTTTATCAGACCTTTTAACCGCCCACCCACTGGCTACTAATCCTGCGTTTCCTAGTTTAAAACTTATTGATGGTGATATCCCCCTTGGTCCTGCCTCCGACAGTCCCCCCTTGATAAAGACTGGGGCTGTCCTATCTCCCCTGCCGTGGTCCTCGGAGCCCCCCTAGAGGAAGCTCCCAATGTTCCCCTTTCGTCCACTGTTTTAGCTGCTCTCTCCGCAATGCTAAGGAAAGCTGTCCGGCCAGAAATCGTCACTAAATACAACAAACTCCTCGAAAGAATGCAAGAGCTTCTCGACCATGGAGTCTCAAAACTTAAAGACCTTCCCTTAGAGTTCATCTGGCCTCTACCTTCCGTACCTTCAACCTCTCAACTTTCTTCAGGTAGAAGCTCTTCCCCCCCCCTAGTTTTTCTTTCCTCCCCCCCCCTCTTATTGACTTTTTCTTTGCTTACTGGCTTTCACAGCTTTAGTTTCTCTTATACACGATAACTATTTACCTCACTCCTTGCGCTTTCTTGTACTAAAATGCGTTTAATTAATTTATGGCATAAGACAATCACTTTAGTTATACTTTCTGTCCCCCCCCCCCCTTCTTAACTTTTATCAACTTCCCCTATCCTATTTATTTCTTTATTTTACATATTAAATGCGTCCCCTTAAGGTTCAATTTACTAGCTTTGTTTATCTTGCTTACATGTTGATACAATTACCCCCAAAATCTCGACTTAATAGCTTTATTTTTCTTCTGCGCATGTTAAATATGTAACTTATTCCAGACTATTAGCTTCGTACTAAACGCGCTCAATTTATCTTGATTGAAAGCTCAATTTATTATATTATCCAGCTAGTTATTGCACGTTAAATGCGTACCCTTAAAGCTCAATTTAATAGCTTTATTTACCTTGTTATTGCACGTTAAATGTAGTCACTTAAAAACTTGATTTAATAGCTTATTCTTCCCGTTGTTGTATGGTTAATGTGTACCCTTATAAACGGGTTTTAATTATCATTAATACGTTTAATTAATCTCATTGGAAAAAATTCACTCCAATATTTATATTGCTTACATGCTGATTAAATGACTCCCAAAAGCTTGATTTAATAGCTTTGTTTATCTCGCTTGCATGCTGGAATTTACCCCCAAAAGCTCGATTTAATAGCTTTAATTTCTTTTATGCATGTTAAATATGTAACTTATTCCAGGCTATTTAGTTTCTTACTAAAACCCTCTGCACTTTGCTTGATTGAAAAGCTCGTTTTGATAGCTTTATTCACCTTGTTTTGCACGTTAAATGTGTTCCCTTAAAAGCTTAATTTTAATAGCCTATCCATCTAGTTGTTGCATGTTTAAAGTGTACCCTTAAAAGCTCGATTTAATAGCTTAATTCTTCTAGTGTTGCATGTTAAATGCGCACCCTTAAAAGCTCGATTTAATAGCTTTGTTTATCTTGTGTAATTAGTGAATAAGCTTAATTTAATAGCCTATTCATCTAGTTGTTGCATGTTTAAAGTGTACCCTTAAAAGCTCGATTTAATAGCTTAATTCTTCTAGTTGTTGCATGTTAAACGCGCACCCTTAAAAGCTCGATTTAATAGCTTTGTTTATCTTGTGTAATTAGTGAATAAGCTTAAGTTAATAGCCTATTCATCTAGTTGTTGCATGTTTAAAGTGTACCCTTAAAAGCTCAATTTCATAGCTTAATCCTTCTTGTTGTTGCATGTTAAATGCGCACCCTTAAAAGCTCGATTTAATAGCTTTGTTTATCTTGTGTAATTTGTGAATAAGTACCACCAAAAAATCTTAAATAGTTTCTTTGCAAAAGCTCGATTTAATAGCTTTAATTATCCTGTTTATTACTGAATAAGTACAATCAAATCTTCAATAGTTTCATTACAAAAGCTCGATTTAATAGCTTCGTTTATATTGTTTTAATACTGAATAAGTACCATCAAAAATCTTCATTAGTTTCTTTGCAAAAGCTCGATTTAATAGCTTTGTTTATCTTGTTTAATACTGAATAAATACCATCATAAAATCTTCATCATTTTCTTTGCAAAGCTCGATTTAATAGCTTTGTTTATCTTGTTTAATACTGAATAAGTACAATCAAATCTTCAATAGTTTCATTACAAAAGCTCGATTTGATAGCTTTGTTTATCTTATTTTAATACTGAATAAGTACCATCAAAAATCTTCTAGTCTCTCTGCAAAAGCTCGATTTAATAGCTTTGTTTATCTTGTTTAATACTGAATAAGTACCAAAAACCTTTATTAGTTATTGCACAAACTGGATTTAATGGCTTTATTTATCCTGTTTGTATATTGAATAAATATTCTTGAAAGCTTTAAAAACTTAATGTAACCGCCTTATCTACTTATATTTATTTATCATTCTTTATTTTAGAAGTTTCATAAACGTACTTAAAACTTGCTTTAATAGCTTACCTTTACAACTTGGTTACTAACATAGATTTATTCTACTCACAAACAAGTCTGAGTTAATTGCTTACATTATTTTGTTCCCAACAAATAAGTTTTTTAACCTCACAAAGCTAACTATAATAACTATGTCACGTTCATACTAACTAGTAAGAAAACACAAGCCTGACTTAATAGCTTACATTATAATTTCTTTCCCAACTAATAAGTTGGTTTACATTTCCTTTTCAAAGGAAAACTTACATATAATAACTGAAATTATTTCCAGCAACCAAGCGTAAAGGGAAACAGAACCGTGTTAAACCAAAACCTGTGTATGGAGTAACCAAGTACGGAGCTAATGGATTATTCTCAACCAACTCTTTCCCTGGCTCCCTAGATCTGAAATGGAAAGAATACCTAGCGGCAGTAGCTAATCACTCGCTGTCAAAAGGAACTTGGTCTACCTACACTACAGCAGGAAGGATGCTACAGAAATGCCATAACGAAACAAACTACTCTTTAAGTCTACCATTAAATCAAGAAAAACTCCTAGTCTTTGTAACCTGGTTGCTGGCTAGGAAATTGACAGCAAAAACGATCAACGCATACCTCTCCGGCCTCCGTCAAGTACATTTAGCGCAAGGAATCCCGATCCCAATTTTACGGCCTTCTCTGATCCAGCAACTATTGACAGGAGCCACGAATATGGATCATATCAGAAACCATCTAGGTCAGAAACCAGCAAGACTGCCAGTAACTCCCACCATTATGAAGTTATTCAAGCTGGATCTAAAAGATAGCAATTTAACAAGAGAAATGAAACGCCTAGTGTGGGCAATTGCAACACTTTGTTTTAATGGAGCTTTTAGAATTCATGAGCTGCTCTCCAGGACCTCTAGACAGTTTGATCCTAACTTTACTCTGCTTGGGCGAGATGTGAAACTAAAAACTATCAAAATATCAAACAAAAACGTCACAATCTTACAAGTTAAGATAAAATCCCCCAAAACAGATAGAATTGGAGCTGGAACAATAGTTGACGTATACGAATCTGGAGGACCACTATGTCCTCTGAAAGCTTATACAAAGTGGAAAGCCGTCTCCACCCATGAGAACAAGAATCTACCCCAGTTCATAGATGACCAAGGAATCCCGTTCACAGGGAAAAGGTTCAACACTATTCTGAAGAACTCCCTGGGAACTTACATAGACTACAGTAAGGGGAAAATAACCTCACACTCTTTCAGAGCTGGTATAGCTTCTTTACTAGGGGTCCTAGGCTACTCAGAGGAAGATATACAAGCAGTAGGACGGTGGAGTAGTAGAGCCTACCTAGCTTACCTCAAGCTCCCTAGAACTAGAAGATTGGAAATGGCAAGATCAATTGGGAACTTGAACCTGTGATTAGTAATTAAACTGTAAACAAATTGTTTTGGCTAATAAAACTGCCCTATAAAAAACTTCATAATTTATTATTTTAGGATCGATAAGTAGAAATTTAAGTGTAACTAACATACTAATTTTAAATTTCTTAAAAAACAAAAATAAGCTTAAGAACCAGAATTACAAATAAATGCGTATTTAATTAACATACTAATTTCTCTTTGTATAGGAGAAGATGAAGAAAGTGAGGAAGGAAATAGAGAGGAAAGTGGAGAGGGAAGTAGTGATGTAGATAGTAACTCTGGCACTTTCTCCTCAGATAACTCCTCCAGGAGTGTTTTAATTACAAGACTGAATAAAGAATTACCAGGTATTCAATCCTAAATTGAACTGATTACTATTGCACACTGTGAGAAAGGCTCAATTACTTCCAAATTCTAAATTTAAAAATTTAAATGTCATAGAATGCCTTGAAGCTTCGCCCTTCTCTCTTTACTGTGCATATTTTACCCTGCAGTGGTACCCACAAAATCGTGGAACCTCATTTATATTCCTCAGATGTGCGGGAACCACTGATATTCCCTGTTTAACATATGTTTACTTGGCAACTCCATAGTATTTCCTTTGCCCTGCAGTGGTACCCACACATTTGTGAAATCCTATCAATTTTTTATATCACTCAGACTTGAGGGATCCACTGTTCGGTTCTCATTTAACTCAAATACTTGGAAGTTGAATCAAATCAAGCGTAAGTTTCCTAATATTTATGGAAGCCACTGTCTGAAATTTTGGTTATACAAAATTTAAAGGTTTATTTTTTACAGGAGCTCGAAAGAAGAGGAATCCACCTGCACGCACCATGGCTGCTTCTCCAAAGAGGCCTAAAGGAGCAGTCACCGTTTCCAAGGAGCCCTCAAAAAAGAAAAAGACCAAATCAACAATACATGCAGACTCTTCAGACTCTGTTGCAATAGTGCCAGGAAACCGTAGGAAAACAAAGAATAAAAGAAGAAGAATAGCATCTAGCAGCAGCTCAAGGAGCAGCAGCCCTAACTCTGAACCTGATACCAGGAAACGCTCCTACAGCTCTAGCAGTGGATCCTCTAACGAAGAGGGCCAAGGAGCAAAAACGAACTACGACATATTAAAAGATGTCCTCCCGGGAGAAGCCAGGCTAATGAGAAATCAGAAAACTAAAATTAACCAGATGTCAATGAGTGAAGTACTTGATCTTGTTAAATTGAAGAGAGCTGCAGATCAAGCTAACATTGGAGAAGCTTCGTCTAGGTTTTCGAAAGATAAACCGCCAAAACCAAGAAAGTTTAAAGAAGAAACTGATGATAGTGTGAGACATCTTCACAAGGCAAGATTTCTACGTGCCCCGCTTTCTGATCTGAAGAAATGGTGGAGAATGATGCCAGCAGCCAGGTCTCATATTTACAAGACTATACCACTTAAGTTTTCAGGGTCACAAAGTAAAATCTCTGACAAAACTATAGGGTTTCTGCATGATCGGGCAAAGGCTCTAACTATTAAAAACTTCCACTCCCAGAATGTTTGCGTTGCTGCTAAACCTATGAAGAAGATAGAGAGGAAGGATGCAGAAGGTTTGGTAACCCTGTTTGATTATTCTTGGGAAGAACCTAGTAGTTTAGCCGAATTTACAGAAGCATTGATAAACTACATATCTGCGATGCAGCAATTATGGCCGCTGGACCCTACGGGGATAATTATGCTTAGACTCATCAACACTTACAAATGGGTCAGTGTTGCATATGAACTAAAGGAGAAGGTTTCTGTCTTGGCCGCGTACTTTAACGGAGTCTTGCAGGAGAATGCCGGCAGGGCAATCAGGGGTGAAGTTATCCTAGACTATAAAGAACACAAAGACATTCTAAAGCTAGCACTGACCTCACACAACCTCCCTAGTTCAGTCCCTACCGGGAGAATCCCAAAACTGAACCAAGACAGGAATGTAAAAAGAACTGTACATACTAGCAATCCCAGTTCCTCAGGATATAACTCCAGCTTCAGGAAAGACAGGCAAAACCAGCGCCCAAAGGCTACCTTCAATGGTCTCGGCGTCTGCTATGCTTTTAACAATGGCTTGTGCAAGTCACAAAGCACTCCAGCAGGTTGCAAAAATGCTGGGAGGGAGTTTGCACATGTTTGCAATGTGTATGTGGATCAGAAGTCGTCGTTCTGCTTAGCCAAGCACCCGAGATCAAGCCACAAATTTTAACGGTTCCATGATTTATGCCAAAGCTCAGTTTGATAAATATAATTTTTAATAAAGATTTTTAATAATGAATTACTTGATTAGTAGATATTGATAAACTTGTTGGATAAACTTGTAGTTGCTTTACATGTTGGGGAACGTTAATACTTGTCTAATTATAGACTCACCAGTTTAATTAGTATTTCTTGCCTTCAATTGATTAAGTCTACATCTTGGGAAATTTAACTTAATTATGAATGGGACGATATAATTACTTAATGTTATATGACAGTGTTAGTAACATTTGTAAACTAATAATCTTGTTAATCATTCCTACTCATAAACAGTTGCTATATAATGCTGTATAAGGGTTAAAAGATTTGATTAGTTAATTAATTAGGGTTAAACATTGCAAACACTTATTTATGGACGATTAATGAAACTGGGTTGATTAATGTTATGAATTTTAGTTGACAAACTTTTGGTGTATCAGAATACAGTAATTAATGACGGCTTAATACTATCAGGTTTCTTAAATTGATGCATTTGGGAAAGACGACATTTTTCTTTGACATTTTGGGCACACCATGCGTCCGAGTTCGCAAGTACAGTAATACAGGATTTAGGTTTAAAAAATTTTGACATACAGTGATGGGCATTAGTATTGGTACTGTATGGACGACTTTTGCAATTTGCTGCTGAAGTTTACAAATAATCAAAGAAGGTTTATTTATTTGGCAGCTTCTCTTGATTTTTGTGGTCATGTGTATACATGCAGTCTATCAGCTTAGAAAGATCAGGATTTAAAGGGGAGTGGCGTCTTCATTGTATTGGTATAGCTGCCTACCACTGAAGCTGCAGGGTGTCCCACGGGGCATGATAGTGGTGAGTGGGTTTGAGTGTTATCTCCATAATTTGTTAAGTTCTTTGATACAAAGAGATTAATTATCATTAATAGGATAAATAACATGGCAGTTATTTTACAGTAAACTGATTTAAAAGTAAATAAATTTGAGTAAAGTTTGCGATAACGAAATAAACTGCAAAAGTCTTTAATATAATATAATATATGGAGGAGGACATTCAGAGCCATTCACTGGTTGTCGTGTTTCGTGGGACAACCTGTAGTATAAAGTTACTATTAAAAAGTATTTAATGATGTGGAACCCAATGCTAGTGGTCCGCAACTTCCCCCCCCCCCCCCAGGGCCCAACTAGGTTATACCTTTTAGTATTTAATTTTGTGTCACCCATCCACCTTCCAAAATTGTTGATTATTCACATTGGGGGTAAGAGCTTAATTCATTAAGGATTCAGCAGAGAAGTTATGGACAACTTTATTAAATGGAAGTTGGCGTGGAGACATTGCAATTGCAGGGCCTTGCCAGAGTTGCCCCCTCCAAAAGCTTTCAAACCAAAGTACGTACTGCCAGAACTAACTTCTTACTCAGATGTTTTCCCTTCCTGGTTTTGGGCTTTGGCCCCGGCTAATTACAATTCCCCAGCAAAATCTCTGGTAGACGCAGATAAGCTTCGAAACTGTGCAGTGAAATACGGCTATCAAGACTTAGCAACGCTAAGCAAGGTTTGCGAAGATTTGGAGTTCGGTGCTGACATCGGCTGTGTTGGTGAATTCAGGCGCCCTTCTAGAGCAACTAATGCTCCCAGTGCCTATGAAAACGGCAAGCAGGTTACAGACGCAGTTTGCGATTGGCTCGCAAAAGGCTTTGCTTATGGGCCGGTGCCAATGTCCCAAGTTCCTAAGACTGCAAAGTTTAGCGGCATCATGACTAGACCTAAACCTAACGGATCTGTCAGAATAATTCTTAACCTCAGCGCTCCTGTAGGGCAGGCTGTCAATGAAGGTATTGACAATAGTCAGTTCCCTACCTCCATGTCTTCAACAACAAAATGGCTGAGGGTCTTGCATCGGGCAGGTAGAAACGCAAAGATATGTAAAGTAGACTGGTCAGATGCTTACAAACATGTGGCAGTGAGGGCAAAAGACACTGACCTGCAATGGTTCCAGTGGGGAGGTTATGCTTTCAAAGAGTTATGCCTCATTTTTGGAGGGGTTAGCAGTGCAGGCATTTTTGACCGCCTTGCTAAGATTGTCCTTTTCATAGTAGTTCAAAAGTCTGGTTTCCGCCATGATATGGTGTGCCAACATCTGGATGACTGCTGTGCAGCTGCGCCTTTTAATTCTAATGCTTTGGAATTATATGATGCAGTTTTCTCTGAGGTCGCAATTGAGCTAGGGGTAAAGCTAGCACCTAGGGATGACCCTGAGAAGTCTTTTAGCCCTGCGCAATCTGGCATAATTCTAGGCGTTCATTATGACACCACCTCCTGGACTTGGTCCTTACCAGAAGAAAAATTGATCCGTCTTCTGCACCTACTTCGCTCCTTTTTGAGTGTTGACAGCTGTCAGCAACATCTGATATGGACGGCAGTGGGGAAATTACAGCATATCAAAGCGCTGGTTCCTTCCGGGAAGTTCAACATTGATCACCTCATTCGGGCTAACTCCGTCTCTCTGGAACGTACTTACATGATCCCACTCTCAGTTGGTTTCAAGAGGCAGACATGGTTCTGGTTCTCCATGCTCCAGCTCTGTTCCGGCGTAGGCCCTATACCTGACCCTGACCAGGGTTTGCCCCCCTGGGCAGTTGATGTGTACACAGACTCAGCCGGTGGCGCTTGGGAAGGCATGAAGGGTGCAGGGGCCTGTACCCCTACTTGGTGGGCTTTTGTCCCTTGGTCAATCAAAATCAACCGAGGATGTATGGGCCCTTCGAATCGTCAACTGGGGCGCATGATGTCTGCTCTGGAGTTAGTGGGCCCTTTGTTGGTGATCTCTGCCGGTTACAGCTGGTGCCGCAATACCCCAGTCAAAATTTGGGTTGATAATGCAGGGTCAGTTTTTATTTGGAAGAAGGGTTACAGCTCTAGCTGTCTTCTTTCCTCTACATTAGTCAAAGCTATAGCCACAGTTGCTGCTGGACTGGGTTGCCATGTCGAGCTGGAGAAGATAACCCGGTGTTCTACCCCATTAGCAGATATGGCTGACGCATTGTCTAAATGCGCGTTCTCAAGGTTCTGGGACATTGCGGCTTCAGCAGATTACGCCGCGCTCCCACTGGAGCCAGCTTGGATTCCAGTTCCCATCACCGCCTGGCTTCAAGACCCTGTTCCAGATGACTTCCTGGGTGATAAGATCCTCAGGGAATTGTCTAAGAGGACTTTGGTTCTAGGCCTCAACTGTTAGGGATATTTCTCAGGATGGTAAGGGTTGTCATGGACTCGGCTTTGCCTATTATGGGGTTTATTTTATTTAGGGTTACCGCTGTTTCAGGCATGTACCGGTTTCTACTTGTTACCGTTACCGCTGTTTGGCGCGGTTACCAGTTTCTATTTGGTTACAGTTACCGCTTTCTGGGCGGTTAACGGTTTCTTTCTTTTTGGCGGTTGATGAGCCTGCTAGTTAGCGGCCTTATTTACCGCCTTCCCCGTATAGCCTATGTTCTGCAACCCTTATGTGTAGGGCGGTGACTTTCAGCTCCTGCTGGTGGTCGCCCTCTTATGCTTTCCTTTTCCTTGTGGTGCTCCTATCTCGCCGTCTCTTACCAGGTAAGCTGTGGTTCACCCTGTAATTGTTGAGTATTTTCTATCTGACATAAATATATGTATTGCGCTAGATTTTAAAATTTGTTTTATAACTTTTCACTTTTTTAATTCCAATTTTTTTTCAGTTATGCTATCATTAGGAGGAATTCCACGTCAAGAAACAAATCCAAGTGATGAGTATTTTTTTGTTGTGTGTACAGTGATAACCAGAAAACTCTGAAATAGGAAGACGACTTTATAGCAATACTGAAGTGTATCTAATGTTGTTAAAAAGCAAATAGTTTTACTAGACACTTATTAAATCACTTATTAAGTGAAATGGGTCTTCTTACACTGCACATTTGCTGTGTCCCGTGCCTATTGTACTCATTAAATTCATAACTTGAGTCTAAAAGTCGTCTTCCTATTTCACAGTTTTCGGCTTATCATTGTATTGCAGGTGTTCCAATGAATAGCGAATTTATGAAGAACTTTAAGAGCATTGATGAAAATTATCTAGGTGCAGCGACCCCTACAGAAGGAGTAGCTTTATCACAGGGTAATTAAATTATTACTTTTTTAAATAAGATTTTAAAAAACCATGTTGAATTTCAAGATGGAAGGTCGTGCTACTTTTTTGAAGATGCTACTTTGATGACCATTGGAGAATCTTATGCATGCAGTGCAGCACAATTTAGGTAAGTAGAAGCCTTTACATCAATTTTCAATGCAGGGTCGAATTTGAAGTGTCGCAACCCCTTGGTCCAATATATTTTTTAGATCACTGGGCGAAACTGTAAGGAGTTTTTTTAGATCACTGGGCGAAACTGTAAGGAGTTTTTTTAGATCACTGGGCGCAACTGTAAGGAGTTTTTTTTAGATCACTGGATGAAAATGAGACAATTATACTATAAATGTGAAAACTTACTAAGAAAATGTATTGTCTGCAATGCAGTTTAATGAATAACTAAGCAGAGTGTCAACAAAACCATCGAAGAGGAAATAAATGATGAAGGAGAGAAATGAACACAAGAATAATTAAAATGATATATTTCTGTATTACCTGTACACAATTTATAAAAATTCTCAAAAATAGTAAATGTTAAAAAAAATTATGAAATTTGGGCATACGTTATTTTTCTTTAGAGCATTTGGTGTCCAATATGTTCGAACAGCAGTGGAGTGTACTTGCTTAAGAGAAGAAAATGGAAAATGTAAGCAATTTCATAATCATGAAGAAATTTGTAAACATGAAGAATTTCATAAACATGACAAATTTAATAAACATGAATAATTTCATAAACATGAAGAATTTCACAAAAATAAAGAATTTCATAAACATGAAGAATTCCTTGAACATGAATAATTTCATAAACATGAAAAATTTCATAAGCATGAAGAATTTCATAAACATGAAGAATTTCACAAAAATAAAGAATTTCATAAACATGAAGAATTCCTTGAACATGAATAATTTCATAAACATGAAAAATTTCATAAGCATGAAGAATTTCACAAACATGAAGAATTTCACAAAAATAAAGAATTTCATAAACATGAAGAATTTTGTAAACATGAAAAATTTCATAAGTATAAAGAATTTAATAAACAGGAAGAATTTCATAAACATTAAGGCGACAGTTCGCTTATTTGGGTTAATTTCATGTAAAATTTTATAAAATCATAAAATAGCATAAACTTTGAAAAGTTTATTCACTGTTAAAATTTCTAAAACTTAAAAAACAACTTTTTCGCAAACACTCCCTTTAAAAAATAACTTTGCTTCTCAATCAAGGGAAAAATTATAATTTGCAAAATAAAACTGCTTGTCATTTAACAACATAATTTTGATTTCTTATTTTTGATTTTATTTGCAGTGATGTTATCATATGGCCAAGGTTCTCGGAACACCCCTAGATCACGTGATAAGGAAGGAGTCAGTTTAAGTCAAGGTAACTTTTGGAAACTATTGGGTGTCCCACGAAGCCTGACAGTAGAAAGTCTTAGATCTTTGAAATTGTTTGTGGCATTCACTCTCAACCTACTTTTACACGTTTGCATTATCAAGTTCTTCTAATTCTAGCACTTCCAAAATGTGGTCTGCATTGTTTGTGCTCTCAAAAAATATGGAAAGATTCTTTCATAATTCAGCAATTTCGGTTTCAAATAAATTGAACAGACTTCTCAATATCTTTGGTAATTTTGTATCCAATAAAAGCCAATACGGCTGAACCAATCGATCGGGCCCAAATGTTGTGTGGGGCCTAACATTACCCCAAGGAAAGTTACTAAATGGCGTCTAAAAAATATTTGATTTAAGTAAAAAAAATTCATATCCACGAAAACAAAATTGCAAATTCAAAAAAAATATTATTGTTTCAAAGAAAATCCTGAAAGATTGAGCAACAATTTAAAGTTGAAAAAGAAGTATATAGCCTACAGCTGTTACTTAAAAATGGTTGTACAAGATAAAAAAAAAACATTAACTCGTCTCTCAATATTAATTTTTAGTGAGGCACTTGAAAACATGAATCAAACCTTAAACTATCTTTAAAAAGTAGAAATCTCTGTTTGTTTGTTTGTATGTTCAATCATAACTTAGGAAAACCCCTTAACAGATTAACGGTTCTGTCAATATTCCAGAAAGCTGTGACTTTAGATCACAATTTGGACCTATTAAGCATAATTTGTAAGCCTTTTTCCTTTTATTTTTTTCTGTCGTTATATGTATTTTGAAGGAAAAAGTATAGAATAAACAAATCCGTAAAGTAAGAGGTTGTTGAATTATAGACAAAAACACGTTTGATTTCAATTAGAAGAAACCGAACATTGTTCACTGTGGTTAGTCCGGGGTGAGGTTTAAAAGTTTTTAGATGAATAGGTTTACTCTTGAAAACTTTGATTCAAGGCAAAGCTGGATTCCCAATCTACGATACAAAAATAAGCATAAGAAATATTGTTTGCGAAACCTTTATAAATTTTCAAAAGTGCCTGATCTTGTCAGATTGAATTCACTTTGATTTATGTATAAATATGATAGAGGGAATCTTCCATCTTCCTTGAACACTCTTTCACTCCTTTCAGTCGAGAAAACCGTTCTAAACAGTATATTCTAAATGTATCATTAAAAAAAGAAGTTGCATTCTTTTCCTAGCTCTACTCTTCCAAAACCATGGAATAACCTTAGTCTTATGAAACATTTAAAAAAAGATATATTTGATTCATATAATATGTAAAAATAGGTCCTAGCTCTACTCTTTCTAATCTTTCATTTTTACAAGGTGGGTGTTGTTCTTTAACCCCTGGTCTCAAACCGTCATGTGTATTATATCATATCTGTTCGGTTCCATAGTAGTAAACCTATCGTGTAAGAATTCCCATTATTACACGGTTCAGGAGGAACAATTTTAATATTGTTCGCTTTCTAGCGTTTAAGAATGCTTATTCTTACACAGTAGGTGTAGAATTTTCATTCTTTAACGCTCAGACCGTGTAAGAATGGAAATTATTACACAGTCAGAGCGTGAAAGAATGTATATTCTTACACGCTCCGAGCATTAAAGAATGGAAATTATTACACTAGTTGCAGAATATTCATTCTTACACGCTCCTTATATTGATTTTTTCAACATAGATCAATATTGAAAATGACTTAATTATTTTGTACTGACAACATGCACAGGACACACTCACCTTTTTCTTTTATATAAATACATGCAAACTTACCTTTTTATACTTTAAAATAACATGCTCACTTACCTTTTTCTTTAATATTAAAACATGCAAACTTACCTTTTCATGCTCACTTACCTTTTTCGTTTTTTGAAGTTTTGATATACCTTAATTCAGTAATATCCATTTAAATCTCAACCCTAATCCTGTGTTTAATTAACATTTTCTGAAATTCTGACCTTTCCAAAAAAAATGGACAATGCTTTAAGCCTTACATTGGACATTTTCATCCAACTGCCGAGTCTCAAAGACTGCCTTCTATTTTGCAAATCTCTGCATACTTGTAATAGTACAGTCAGAGCTTTTCAAAAATGGAAAGGTTGTCATGTCTTCAAAATTTCAATCAATTGTTTTTTCATTTTATATTAAAAAGGGTTTCCAAAATTCCAAATTCATTTGTAATTATGAAAAAAATTACAGAATAAAAAGGTCAATTTGTCCCCCACCCCACAGCTAAAACTAGTTTTAAAGTACCTCAGTCTGAGTCAGTCGTCACCATATCTCGCATAGCTCGAGATGATGAAGTGAAACCACAATCAAAACCAGAAAAAGTTAATTTAATAAAAACTTATCATTGAAATACTAGTGTCACAAACTTTTATTGGGGTCTTAGCACTCCATAGCAATGCGAACAAACCAGTAAATCTTGCTTCATGAATAAAAGACAAAGATCAGTTTATGTCGAACTGATTAGATAACCTGCTTTTATCTCCTCTTTTTGGAAGATTTAGGATCTAATATCCAAGAAATGATTTCTTCTATAAATGAAAGCACGATTTTGTTCAGTAAATTCAGACAACCCACTACTATACCTTCTCTCCATCTAAAAAAAACTCAGAGCAAATTCAACATGCTGTGTCTAAGTGTAGTATATCAACTTGAAAAAACAAGCAAAATCATAAGAAATTAATAAACAAACAAACTAAACTAAGGAAACAATCGCACCGCATGCATTACTTTCAAATTAAGAACCAATTTTTACTTTTGAAATTTGAAACAGTCGGATTTCACCAGAAATATCTTTTACTATAATTTCTTGGGTATGTGCCCATGGAACCTCACAAATATGATATAATAATAATCTTATGAGGATAAAAATGTAATAATGGAATTCTTAAACTCGATGAACTAATCTTGATGCATTCTTTAACTCAGGGCTGCGGCCTTCGTTAAAGAATACATCAAGATTAGTTCATCTTGTTTAAGAATTTCCATTATTACATTTTTTTCCTCATAAGATTATCATATTATTTCAGGATATAGCATTTTGCTATACTAAATAGAAGAAAATATTATTTGTAACAATATTGTAATTTACATATACATGTTTTTTTTTTCATTTCCTGACAATTTTGTTAATTTAAAAGATATTTAGCAATAAACGTTATTATTATTACTATTATTATAGTTGTTCATAAATTTACTTGTTTTAGACAAATCCCGTTGTTTCTTCCATGAAGATAGCAGTCTTCTGATTGTCGGACAACCAGGGGCTTGTAGTCCAGCTGTGTTTCGGTAACAATTAAATATGTTTATATAAGGACATGTAAACGTAATTTAGAGTCACCATCAATTTGTAGATTAAACTATAAAAACTATAAAAGCTGTGTCAATTTTCCAAATTAGCACTCGTTCAACGGTACCCATGAAACCTGATCATTACTATGGAAGATATTGTCTTTTTTTCTAGGGATAAAAGTTTTTAATTCTGAAAATTCCTACACGTTTCTTTCGAAGAAATGCGCAAGTCACTTTTGTAGAGAAAGCATGTTAAATAATAATTTGTTTTTTTAAATTATAAATATGATTATTTGTATTTTGTGGGGTGGTGTGGAGGTGTGTGCACAACAGTTCTCGTTAGATCACTGAAGTTAAGCACACTTGTCCACAGCCAGTAACTGGATTGGCGTAGACTGGTTCGATTCCCGTACTCCACACAAACCTGTGGTTTCAAAAACATCTAAAGCCGACAACTGGTTTAGCAGTTATGACCACCTGACGGATGTAGGAGGACAGAGGGGCGGCTGTCAACAACTCTCGCAGCGAGAGGGTGCGTGCTTTCTACTCAACAAGAAAGAAGCTTCAAGTGGGATTGATCAAAGTGAATGATAATGAAGAGAGGAATGGCGGACAAGCAGGGAGAGTCTATGGTTGCCAGCTATAGGTACCTGGGGTATCCAATCCGGGCTTACAGATGTTAGGGAGCAATGAGTGTGATGTTTCCTATCAGTGTGGCACCCGGGCCTCATTCCAGTATATCAGAAAGATTCCTGCACTCTATATTCTCAGGCCTAAGAAGAATCTTAGGCAGCTGGAATCTTGTCAACCCTCTTCTCAGAATGAATAAAGCGTGGATGGATGAATGTGCTGCCAGATTACAACCCCTGGTAGATCAATATAAATACCCAGACAACACCAAACTTTCGCAATAGAAAAAATTCCGAGATTTGATCGTAACAACCGATCATGTCCTGGGGACAAAAAAATCTCTTTTAAAGATATTAATTCATATTTGATCAGACAAAGCTTTTAACGTATACCATTGTGAATCGGGCATTGCCAGCTTTAATGCTTGGTTTACTTGAAATTACTTTAAAAATCCCTTAAACCCAACGAGGTTATATTGTATAGAGTGATGATGTACACTAATCCTTTACTAATCATGTATAGGTCATTAGCTATACCAAGAGCGTTCTGCATATTTGTTTATTATAAGTTGATTTTGGCCAAACCATACAGTATATAAATATTAGTAAGTTTACAGTACAGCTAACTGAGCACACAGGTAGAGAACTATCATCCCCCTGGTTTAAACCAGACAAATTTAATAAAAGACGACATTCATATTTAACTTTGTGTTCAGCAAAATGATAATCTTTTTAGTGCCTTTAACCAGCCATATAATGGACAGACGGAGTGTGTTTGTAATTATGATGAAAAAACAGGACAAAGTAAGTTTATTTTTTAAATACAAAAGATTATAAAATTCCTATCCCTGCAGAAACAGTCGTCGTCGTATATATCAAAACAATAAAGACGACTTTCAAGTTAAATCATTTCATCTACAAAGTTTTATCAATACAATAAAGACGGCTTTTCTATTCAAGTTTTGATTCCTAACAAGCTTTTCTTAAAATTACAAGTTTACAAGTAAACAAAAAGAAGTTGTTAATTGACAGCTCCTCTTTGTTTTTATGTTTATGAGTATTCATGTTGTTAGAAAGCTGGGTAGAAATAAAAATATATAGATATAATGTCGTCTTCATTGTATTGATATATACGACGACGACTTTACAATATGTTTAGTCCAGTTAGAATACGCATCTGCAGATAGCGGGGGAAGAGGAGGTAAAAATAAAATATATTTTTTTCACTTAATTTTTAAAAATATTTTTTTTGTTTTGTTTAGATAACTATGATGATAGTAGGGTACAACTAAGCAGAAGTATTTATTTAAATTTTTTATTTATTTTATTTTCATTATTATTATTATTTTTTCAAATCAAAATCTCAAAAAATTCAAAACTTATATACCTAGGGTGTCCCACGAAACAATACAGTTGGTGAATAATTTTGAATGTCTTCTTCTTCATACTCTATTAGATATTAAAGACTTTTTGCAGTTTATTTCTTTTAAAAAAATGTTTAACATATATATATTTTACTGTAAAATCAATTTTACTATATTATAACGTTATATCAAAATTGTTACTCTAGTCTCTTTGCTATCAAACAACTTATCAAATTATGGAAGAATACAACTGTCATGTTTCGTGGGACACCCTGTATTTGTCAATTTAGTTTGTATTACGTATAGATATATATATAGTATTATTATATATATTTGTTTTATTATATATTATTTTGATCGTATAGGAATAAAAAAGAATATTTGACTAAAGTTATTAATTTAAAATTTAAAATTTGCTAATTGTTCTTTTTCTAAAACAGTTTACCTATTTGTCTTGATTTTTTATACAGTGAGAACCAGAAAACTCTGAACTAGGAAGACGACTTTTAGACTCAAGTATCGACTTTAAATAGTCTAATGAACATCAGACCATCAATTGTTAAGTTTAAACAGATTTGTTTCACGGAATAATTGTTTCAATAATTGTTTCATCACGGTCAAATTATTGGCTTTGTAACAGGATCAAAAAGACTTGTACATTATTTCTCTGAAAATGTCGTCTTCCTTCAAAATATCAAAAAATAAAAATAAATTATATTATTTAATTTTTTTCTATAATATGTTAATTAATTGTACATATTTTACCATGTAATTGAAATGCGCAAATTCTTCGTTTGCACAAAACATTTACCTACAATTGATTTTTAATGCTGTGATAATTAGACAATTCTGAGATATGAAGACGACTTTTAGATTCAAGTTAGGATTTTATATACGGTGGTAACTGGTAAGCGACTATATCAATGCAATGAAGACGACTTTTTTATTTAACCTTTGATTTTTAACAATCTTTTTTCGAATTACAAGTTTAAAAGTGATGAAAGAAAATCTTTTTTAATAGTTAAGTTCTCTTGACTTCTATGTTTATGCATATCTATGCTATTTAACAGCTTGATTTAAATCAAAATCGAAAGTCGTCTTTATTGTATTGGCTAGATTGCCTACCACCGTAGTCAAATGACCATGAGACACATCATGGACTATATTACACTTTATAATTTATCTTTAAGCTACTAATAAAACTATTAGCTTTGTAACAAAGTCAAATTCACTTTCAATATTGCTATAATGTAGTCTTCCTGTTCCACAGTTTTCTGGTTCTCACTGAATATTGTTCGGCGATTATATTAATACATTGAGGACGACTTTTGTTCATAATACTTTGATCCCAACAATCTTTTTTTAAATTACAAGTTTACAATTGTAAACAAAGAGAGGCTGTTAATTGACAAATTCTGTTTGCTTAAATTTAAAGCGTGTAGAAAGCTTGGTAGAGTTCAAAATTAAAATAGAAATTCTTCTTCATTGTATTGATGTATACGCCGACAAGTGTATTTGTTAAAGACGGGCAAAGATGTATATTTGATGATAATACCCAGTTTATTGTTGGAGAACCCAGCCTTTGTTCCTTAGCTGTATTTAGGAAATTAAACATAATAAGTTTCAGACCACATTTGGGAAATTCCAGAAATATACCGTGTTTTTTAAAGAGGAGGGTACTAGCTTAGAATGATGCTTTCACAAGCTAATTTACTTTAAAACTATTGCAGTTATTGGTGTGCTGCTTTTGGTAGGTTTACTCAGACGTAAACAACGGAATTTGTATGCATCGCAATAACCAAGTTATGCATGTTTTAGTGCATATATAACTAGCCCTGGGCAAAGCTTCGTTAACGGAACGGAGGTTTTCGGAAATTAACGGAAGAGTCTGTAGACGAACGGCATTAAACGTTAATTTTTAAAAACGTTAACAAAAAATGTTTGACGACCCGTTAACGCCGTTAACACTACAAAAGACAGTTAACGGCTGCACCGTTAACGATTTCATAAACCATTAACGAATTTGACAAACCGTTATTGCCGTTGATAATACAAAAACCGTTGATAGCCGCGCCATTAACAATTTCTTAAACTGTTAATGAATTTGTTTTTTCTTTGTCGCTTTGCGTGGTTTGTAATGTGATAGAACATTAACGACTGGAGTTGTTTACAGTTATAAAATATTTTCCGTTAATATCGTTACTAAAATTGAGAATTTAACTAGCAGTAATTTTAAAAAACAGAAAATGCCATTAACAAAACGAACATTCCGTTCTTACCTTTAAAATTAACGGCTAACTGCAATTTTTATTTTTTAACGTTTGGAACTAACTGTTAACGAAACGACTTTAAAAAGTTGGAACGTGCCCAGCCCTAAATATAACTAGAATTGGGGATCAATTTTGTGAAGGCACAAAAGTTTTGAGAAGGAACAATAGTTTTTGCGAACGAATGAAAAAACTAACGATTTCGATTTTTTTAAACAAACTTCTGAAAAAAACATTGGAGTTTTTCTGAAAGAACGATTGAACTATAATTTTGAGAACGAACGAAATAAATTTGTTTAACGATTAAAAAACCGAACAAAATGGGTCGTTTATGAAGGATGCAGGAACGAAATGAAAAAAGAGTCGTAATTTTCTTATTTTCATCATTGCATATTTTTTCAATGTATTATGATTTTTTTAGCTAAACAAAATGAAAAAAGTTTGATTTTGTACAAATATAAAGTAAACATTAACCCTAACTGGCCAGTGGGGGAGATCAATTTTACAATTCCCAGTCAATTTTTCTGCGATAACTCAAAGAGTAGTTGAGCTAGGTAGCTCAAATTTTCTGGCTTTTCTAACCAACACATGCTCCTTAAACTTAAACTAAAAGCTGGAATTTTATATCTATAGCCTGAGTCCTCAGGCATACTATCTAAATACCTTACTTTACCTTTGTTGCCATTTGCGTTATTTTTTGCACATTTTTTGCTTTAAAATTAGATTTCGCAAAAAATATTTGGATTTTGGGAAAATTGAAATTTTGTTTGCAGATTATTGAAGTGAGCCCAAAAGCTTTCCAAAAACGTATCAAATATTATAGATTTGTATCACAATAAGAAAAAAAGACGGGGGGTCAACTTGAGCCCCGGCCCGGGGGTCAATGTTGAATCCAAGCTGGGTAGAAATAGCTAAAATTCAAATCAAAAGTCGTCTTTATTGTATTGATATATACGACGACGACGACTGTATTATGTTGAATGCTTCAGAGGGTTCGGAAAGGAAGACGACTTTACAGGACAAGAAATAGATTGTGTTTGTGAAGTACAAGGAAACAATTCACGTAAATAGATTTTAAATCTAAATTCTGAAATCAAGAAATCTCTTATTTGGCAGCAAAAGTTAGATGGATGCCAATTATCAAAGAAAAAACCGCTTATAATCAACAACAAAAAATCACATATTCTGCAGTAAAGAGTACAGTATTTTAAACTGATTACACTGTGCAGTGTACAACATTTTAGAGTGATTACAGTGTACAGTTTACATTATTTTAGAGGGATAACACTGTGCAGTGTATAGCATTTTAGAGTGATTACACTGTGAGGTGTACAACATTTCAGAGTGATTCACTGTACAGTTTATATTACTTTAGAGTGATTACACTGTACAGTTTGCGTCATTTTAGAGTGATTACACTTTACAGCTTACAGAATTTTAGAGTGATTGCACTTTACAGTTTACAGCATTTTAGAGTGATTGCACTTTACAGTTTACAGCATTTTAGAGTGATTACACTGTACAGTCTAGAGCAATGTAGAGTGATTACACTGTGCAGTGTACAGCATTTTAGAGTGATTACACTGTGCAGTTTACAGCATTTTAGAGTGATTATACTGTACAGTTTACCGCATTTCAGAGTGATTGCATTGTAAAGTTTACAGCATTTTAGAGTGATTGCACTGTACAGTGTACAGCATTTTAGAGTGATTATACTGTACAGTTTACACCATTTCAGAGTGATTGCATTGTACAGTTTACAGCATTTTAGAGTGATTGCATTGTACAGTTTACATCATTTTAGAGTGATAAGTGTACACTGTACAGTTCACTGTGCAGTGTACAGCATTTTTAGAGTGATTGCACTTTACAGTTTACATAATTTTAGAGTGATTGCACTGTGCAGCTTACAGCACTTTAGAGTGATTGCACTTTACAGTTTACAGCATTTTAGAGTGATTGCGCTGTACATTTTACAGCATTTTAGAGTGATTTCACTATGCAGTGTACAGCATTTTAGAGTGATTGCACTTCACAGTTTAAAGCATTTTAGAATTTCTAGAATAAAAACTTTAAATGTTAAAAAATAGACCTTGAAATCAGTTAAAAGTTACTTTAACAAAATAAGAAAATAAATTATTTTTTAGTTCACTTGAGTTATAGAACCCGTCCAACTCAAAGAAGAGGTAAAATAGTACTTTATATATTCTACATATACAGGGTGACATAAAAAAATGGTTCATCGGCATAAGGTCAAACGACCCTGGGTCAAACGACATAGGGTCAAACAACCTATGGGTCAAACGACAAAGGGTTAAAATGGGAAAAAAAATATTTTTTATGTATCATTTCAGGGTTAGGTTAAGTTAAGACAATTTCTGGGCCAAGCGCTGCGGCTAGGACTGGCTAGGGTGCCGAGCGTTGCGGCTATTAGTTCAAATAAACATAAAACATAACTTGAAAATATGTATTATTTCAGGGTTAGGTTAGGTTAAGACAATTTCTTGGCCGAGCTCTGCGGCTAAGACAGGCTAGGGAGACGAGTACTGCGGGTAGTAGTTCAAATGAACATAAAACATAACTTGAAAATATGTATTATTTCTGGGTTAGGTTAGGTTAAGACAATTTCTGGGCTGCGGCCACTAGTTCTAATAAAAATAAAAATAGTTTGAAATTGACCAAAAATAGACTAAATGAAATTTTGCCCACTTGTCGCACTTTTTGACCCTATGTCGTTTTACTCTTTGTCACTTTTTGACCGTTTGTCGTTTGACCCGTTTACCCTATGTCATTTGACCCTATGGCATTTGGCCCTATAAGTCATTTGAACATATAGGTTTCAACATATAGGTTCTTATTTTACATAGGGTTGATTTAAGTCACAAAAAAATCTTTACCTTTATGTTTAATATTCTTTATGGAGATGTACATATAAAGTCCTAAGCCTAAAATCTGGACAAACTCAAGAAGAAATATCAAATTAAAAACATCACCCCAATACCATCCTAAAATTATTATGAATACCGCAGTTCTCGGATACCAAAATAGGAAATTAAAAATATATATTTTGACAATTTCATGATGTTGCATACTGCGTAGACTATAAAGTTTTCTCGGGCAATAGAAATTCAAGAGCTTTATTCAGAAGTTTAAATATTTTAAACTTATCGATAAGATTTATGAAAGATCAAAATAATATTATTGTCAAAAAAAAGCATTGTCAAAAAGTTTATTTAAAAAGAACATTTTTGAGTATTTCTCAGGGACTTCTATACAGGAAGGGGTCGGTAGAGGCTTTGGGTTTTAGCCCCCAGGGAAATGTGGAGGTTTTTATTTTGAGGGGGTTTTAGATCTTACCGACCTCTGGAAAACCAATGTGGGTCCCACCCTCCCCGGGTCCCACCCTCCCCCATCCCCAACCGGGCTATAGGGTTAAACATAAATTAATCTAATTTTAGGAAACCATGGAAGAAAAAGAAGATATCGTAGACTGAGAAGAGTATAATTGTGAAGTTTGATGAATAATATAATTAATTTAAAATCGATATCTTGTTTTTAACAATAAATATGTTTAAGAATTTAAACCATAGATAAAGATAGATTGCGAATAAGACGACATTTTTCTTTTTGAAATTGATATAAATGTACAGAGATGTTTTAAAGATATTCCTATTATATAGATTAACTAGGTCGGAATTGTGAACATTGGCTGTTCTTATGTCATTGAGTACTTGTGGTGTACATGAGTACTGTAGAGAGAAATTTAATTTACAGGGTGTCCCGCGAAACATGACAGTTGGTAAATAGTTTAGAATGTCTTCTTCCAAAATTTGTTAAGCTGTTTAATACCAAAGACAATAATAAATATATTATATAGGAGTCATATTATAGTAAAATTAACTTTCACGTAAAATATATTTGAGCTAAAGATGTTTTAAACGAAATAAACTGCAAACCGCCTTTAATATCTAATACGGTGTATGGAAGGCGACATTCAAAACTATGTACCAACTGTCATGTTTCGTGGGACACCCTGTAGGTTAGTCGGAGTCCTTCTCATGTCCTTCTTCAGTTCTCGTCAGTGAAATATTGTTGTTCAAATGGTTCCATTCCACTCTATTATGAAATCCATTAAAACACCAAACCACCCCGCTGATCATTAAAGTACACTTTGACCCCTAGAAGTATGAGTTCGCGGACTGTACAATTCTTGGTGAATTTGCGTACATAAGCTATCTATGTTTATTTATTTATCTATGGTTTAAACCAATATAATTTTGTTTAATAACAACTCATAATGTTGATTAGATGCGAACGGAGAAAAATAGAAAATTTCGGGATAGAAAGAGGACTTTTAGATTTAAGTTATTACTTTAATTAATCAAATAAACAATAGATTTAGCAATTTTTGTGATAACAGATTAAGTTCACTAAATAAGTGTTTTAATAAGTCACTGCTAAACTATTTGCTTTGTAACAGCATCAAAAACACTTAAATATTTATTTAATGTCGTCTTCCTACTCCACTTTTCTGGTTCTTACTGTAGCGGCCACAATATTTGATAGTGCTGTAAATGTCAAATGGCAAAAATAAAAAGCATTATTTAATTTATGTTTATCGTATAATACTGTATATATTATATGTATATAAATATATTCAGGGCGAGTAAAGAAAATGGTAATAACTTTGTTTTACAAAACTTTCGATGGAATATCACATTTTTTACATTTTTTACATTTTTTACATTTTTTACATTTTTTACATTTTTTACATTTTTTACATTTTTTACATTTTTTACAGGGCAAACAAAGTTTTGCGAAACCATTTTTTTTAATATATCGACTGTTTAGTTGATTTTCATTAAAAGACCATTTCAATTAAAAATTCTCTAACAAATCTTTCGAAATCTTACAAATGTAACAAAAATGTGATATTCCATCGAAAGTATTTTGTTGTTTGAAGTGTAATTTGCAATGGAGTAAAAAGTAAATTTTGCTATTCAATATGAACAGCAAAAATTTTTGAAATGTGTTAAAAATTCTAATCCCTTTTTTTGCTCACACTCTTTCTTTAGATATATATTATCGTGTAAAAACACATTTTTGTTTGTCATCATGGCTCCCACTCCACAATATAACCTCTCAGTAAACATTTACCTCAAGTTTTCCTCATTCTACTCAGGAATCTACTTTTATATAGACCTTGCTCAGTGCAGGAATCATAGTCTTTTATAGACCTTACTCTGCGACGGAATCTACTCTTTTATAGACATTGCTCAGCCAAGGAATATACTCTTTTATAGACCTTGCTCAGTCAAGAAACCTACTCTTTTATAGACCTTGCTCAGTCAAGTAATTTACTCTTTTAGAGACCTTGCTCAGAGAAGAAATCTGCTTTTTTATAGACCTTGTTCAGTAAAGGAATCTACTTCTTTATAGAACTTGCTCAGTAAAGGAATCTACTTTTTTATAGACCTTACCCAGTGAAGGAATCTACTCTTTAATAGACCTTGTTAAGCGAAGGAATCTACTCTTTTACAGACCTTACTTGGCGAAGGAACCTACTGTTGTTTAGAAATATCTCAGTAGAAGAATCTACATTATTATAAACCATTCTCAGTGAAGGGATCTACTCTGTTTTAGACCTTGCACATTGAAGGAATCTCCTTTTTTACAAACCTTGATCAGTGAAGGAATCTACTTCTATGTACACCTGGCTCAGTGAAAGAATCTACTTTTGTATACACCTTGCTCAGTGAAGGAATATACTTTTTTTAAGGCCTGCTCAGAAAATGATCTACCCATTAAATATCTATTTTGGAGTGTGTGAAGACCTTGTTTAATGGCGGTATCTAATTTTTTCAAAGTTTATTTTGCTAAAACATGTTCCTTTTATAGAGCAATTGCTCTGTTTTTCCATCCACCTTCTGTACCAGTACAACTTGCTCCTTGATGCCTAAAGTCAGTACAGTCAGGGCCGTAACTAGGGGGGCAACGGGAACGCGCCCCCCTCACATTCCTGTGAGATCAAATTTAAGTTAACTAATTGTGCTAATTTCGACTGTGTAAGAGCTCTTTGCCCCCCGGTGTGTGCCCTATCCCCGGCCTGGAAAAACTTATAGTTACGGGCCTGAGTTTATACGGACGCAGTACTTCAAAAAAAGAAATTTTTTAGTGATTTTGTCGAAGCATGAACAATTCATATTTTTGATATAATTGATAGGGTATATTACAATTATATTATCTAAATGGAGAGTATACTATTATAGAAGCCAGGGGCGGATACAGGGGGGGGGGGCGGGGGGACATTCCCCCCCGACAGATTCAGGGAGGGGCATAGCCCCCCCTAAATTTGGAATTTTTTGGTCCTATTTTCAAAATAGCTTCTCAATAGCATGCTTAAGGGAAAGAAACCCTAGTGCAAAACAGGGAAAATATCTGTCTTAATAAACTTTAATGTATTATAAGTTAAAAATCTAGTTTTTTGGTCTTTAGTCATTAATTTTGACTCTTTTTGAGTATTTTAAGTCTCCCGAGCGCCCCAGAACAGAGGGGTCTGGATATCCCCATCCCCCGCGGGCAAGGGCGTATACAGGGGGGCATGGTGCCCCCCTAGAACTCAGAGCTATCACACATATACACATACATATAAATGAACGAAGATCTTTATTATATAGATTAATTGTACTCCTATACTTTTTTTTCAACAGAAACTTTTGCAAGTCATAATTTTTCTGCTGGGCCCAGAAGCGCAACTAGGGGGGGGCGGCCGGGCGCGCGCCCTCCCCTAGCACCTGAGAGGGGGGGCGCGCCCCCCCCCCCCTGCAGAATGAAAAGAAAGAAAGAATGGCGAAAAACAGTATCACAGGAATAAGAAAACCAATAGAGTTATTGTAGACATTTTATCATACTATAGTTAGTTTTAAAAAAATATTTTTATCTTTCTCAATTCTCAAGGCTAAAGGCTATTGTAAACATTTAATGTAAAAAAAAGTTCTGAACTGTATTTTATTTGTGTTGAGTTTATAGTATACAAACTGTCTCTTGGATGCTGTTATAATGCAGCTAGATGAGAGATTTGCTCCAATAACATCAAAGGCCATGGGTTTGCTTTACTTGTTACCAGAGAAAATAGCTTCTCATACCCTGGCTGATCTCAAGAGTAAACTTTCAGAGAGTTTAGAGTTTTATCAGTCTTTACTTCCAAATCCTTTACTCTTCTGGACCGAACTTGTACTATACAAGAGCAACCTGGAGATGAGAGGGAGCAAAGCCATTCCAACAAATCTAGACGAAGCTTTGCAGGAAATAAATCCTTCAATATTCCCAAACTTATTCACCATGCTGAAAGTAGTAAAAACACACCCTTACAAAATAATATATTGCCCCCCCCCTAGCAAAAGTCCTAGTTGCGCCTCTGGCTGGGCCAATTGTCCTTTTATCATCTCATAGAATTTAAGTTTAATTTATGTTGAGTATAACGTTTTCATTTTCAAAAATGTATTGTAAGGTATCTGTGTACCTTTAAAGTATCTTAAACTTTTCTTCACCATGGTATCCAAGAAGCCAAATGTTTTGAATTTATCCAAGGGGGAGGCTATTTGCCCCCACCCCCTCCTCCGGCCGGGGCCCTCAAGATATACATTGTGACGGTGGAGTGCGTGAATTAATTATTCATTGAACAGAACTCCTATAAACTCTTTTTTGAACTTTTCGTTTCGTTATTGATTTCGGAAATTCCAATTTTTCCAATGTATTTTAAATATTTTCTTCCTTTCAATTGATTTTCGTGTGTTGTAAGGAAATTAAAAGAAAGTTGACAGCGCCCCCTTTATTCTCCTCTCTATACTTAACATTCTTTGTTCATTGTATGAGAAAGTCAATTTCCAGAGCCCGTTCTCTCTATAGATAGTGGTCGTGTAGTCTACGTACTTTGGGGGACGATGTGTTGGTCGCTAGATGTCTCATGCTAAATTCTTATCTGATAGATAGATACTTTCTCCGTACACTTAACGGCCAATGTAGGAGACGTAAAGTTGTCTACCGATGTAATTTATTGAAGGAACGGCCTCAGGCGACAGCAGCGCTCCTGATTCGCCTAGCGGATGATATATAAACTAAAGTTGACAAAGGAACAAAGAGTAGTGAGAAGGTATATGAACCGGTCTAGGAGAGGCGGGGGGGGGGGGGCGGGCTAGCCAGGCATTTTAACAGTATAGGATTAGTGCGCATAAGAGTAACAGCTAAGCACACTATGAGCGCTTTAAACCAGTTCTACTGCGTCACACTACTCGTGCACTGTAGGATTATAGGAAAGCCTTTACTGCGTTTTACAGCAGTTGAGTGCTAATGGCGGTCAAAGCAAGTACTGATATTAATTAAATCTAGTTACTACTGTTCACAAATTATTTCGTTAAACTTTCAGATTGACAAAATGATTGCCTGTAATTGGATGACAGTGCCCGTCTAAGAAAAATCGAGTGACAGTCCATACAAATCAAGCTATCTTGAATATAACAAACGAGTCTGTGATAGTTATTCTACATTTGCAAGTTTTGGTGTTTAAAAAATGTGTCAGTCAATG